GATGTGCAGTCCATGGAGACACTGGACACTGTGAGCTCAGTTCCTGGGCAAGCTGTGAGCTCACAGGAGGTCAGCACAAGGAGGACCATGAAGGAATGATGTGGAATTTCCAGGCAGGAGTGTAGTGGGATCCAAGACTAAGCACAGGTTAGGTGAGGCCTGAATAACTGTCCTGGCAGGAGCAGGGTTGGGAGGCTTCAGGCTCCTCTGTGGAAGAGGAGCTTGTTCCATTTCCTTAACCCTGATGGTCACATGCCCTGGCCAGGCCAGCAATGGTGTGGGGTTATCACAGTGTGAGTCAGGGTTAAGGAGCAGGGGGTGGGACCCTGTGGGGCCTCAGGAGGGTAAGACAGGCTGCAGGGATATGTTCACCATGACTTTGCCCTATTTAGTCTCCAATGATGAGGGCGGTTGGCAGAGGAGGGGATGACAGATGGGAGGTGCCTCCGTATGACCCCCTGAGTGACAGAAGCAATGTCCCTGAAGTGAGTTCTCCCATCTTTCTTCTCATATTATTCAACCCATGGCCTGATCAGCAGCACCTGATAACCCAGCTGCCTGAGACCTTGGGAAGTGGTTCATCCTTGGAGTCCCTGAATGTGGTGATGTCTGGGGTGGGGTACGGATCCCTGCTGTGCAGAGCACACCCAGCACTGCACCACACTCACCTCCACTAGCCAGAGCCCAGCTTCCTCACAGGACCATGCCCTTGGCCTCCCTCCATCCTCACCTCCAGGAGAGACCAGACAAGGGTGGTGAGGAGACTGGTGAACACAACAGCAGCAATGGAACCTGCAGAGCTAGGAACACACATGGGCCTGTGCACATGTACATGCACGTGCACACACAGGCTCACACTTGTCCCCAGTGGGATATAACAGCTCAGGCCCCCAGGACAGGGAGAGTAGTGAGGAGCTTGGCCACAGCAGTACCCAGTACCCAGGAGGCTCCACAAATCCTGCAAGGCATTCACTGTCTCTGCAGGTGCCAGAGGTAACCATGCCTGGCAGAGGAACTGGAAGGAGCCTAATGGTGCTGACAGTGAAGGTGTCCCCAGACATGGATGTCCCTCTTCTGGGAACCCTAGGGATTGTGGGTGCTCCTGACTCCCACATGCTTTTTGACACCATCAGCCTCTGTGTGGTCAGCACCAGTGTCAGGGGCTGATGGTGAAGTCACAGTGACTCGATCCTTAATCTCTTGCCTGTGTCCAGGACAGAGTTCTTGTCTCTCCTGCAGAGAGTCTGGTCCCTGCTGGCTCAAGGTCCCAGGCAGGTGGCAGGCAACCTGCCTCTACCCTCCCCCTAGTCTCTGGACTCTGATACCCAACAGCAACAGCAGCAGCAAGGAGAAGCCAGGAGGAGGGAAAGAGGCACAGCCTGGATCAGCAGTGCTAGGGTAGGCCTGTCATGTGGCAGGAGGTTGTGGTCACTGGGAGTCCCCAGTTCTGGTCATTGCAAGGGTGGGCAAAGTACGGGGACCTCAGGTAGTTGTATGCCAATTGTGAGGGCACCCATTGCACACATATTAATCCAAAATGCAAGTGTTCAAAAGTCAATACAAAATATAATTGCAGAGGAGGAAAAGGAGGATGGAGAGTGGCAGGGACCGGGGACCTTGTCCAGCGGGTAACAGAGGGCACCGGGACATCTGAGCCCATGACACACCTCCCACACATCTGCCCTTTTCTCTTGATCCAAGGATGACCACAGGCCCCACTGCTAGGGGATTCTGATTCCTCAGGGGGTTGGGAACCCTGACCCTGACACCTGCTGATCTAGGAGGGTGCCATTGTGACTGCGCTCCATGATGTCATCATTGCCAAGCACTGCTCCTTCCATATTCTACAGCAGTTAGAGGCCACACCTGTGTCAAGTGACTGGCTGAGCTGGACTTTGTTTTCTAGGCAAGAAGGAAGTTCAGGAGATGTGGATGGATTCAGGTCCAGGTGAGTGGGACTTGCTCTCTTCAGGTCATAATGATTTGGAGCAGGTTATCCCAGCTGTGTGGGCCTGGCCTCTACTGGCTACTGCAAAAGGCCATGCTGCCTGAGTATCTCTCTCTCTCTCTCTCTCTCTCTCCCTAGCATGTTTTCCAGCTACAAAACATAAAAAACTTGATTCTCTGAATACTAACAATCGAGATGTAGAACCTGAAATTAACTATACCACTTTCAACTAATCTGAGAAAATGAAATGCTTATGTATTGTATTAACAAAATATGTATAATATTGTATGCTCTAAATACCAAAATACTGATTTTAAAAAGGCAAAGAACATCTAAAGAACTGGAAACCATACTGTGCCCATGGATTATAGGATAAACGTAATAAAGGTGCTGGTTTCTCCAAATTAGTTAATAACTCTAATGCAATTCCATCATTATCCCAGCAAGACTTTTGTAGGTCTTGGTGAACTTATTCTAAAATTTATATGGAAAGTTAAGACAGTCTTGGGAGAGTGGGAAGAACAAAGTGGGAAGATTCACTGCAGTCAGTGTCAAGACTCACTATGTCGATGCAGTAATCAAGAATTTGTGACACTGGAAAAAGGACAGACATAGACAAACAGAACACAGAACCCAAATAGACCACACAAATATGCTGAATTGAATTTTTTTTACTCAGTACCACAGAGAATTCAAAAAAGAAAGGATAACTTATTCAAAAAGTGGAGTTTCCCTGCCTCTGTTACACATTAGAGTGCCTGTGTTTTATGCCTGGCTCTGCTCCTGACTCCAGCTTCCTGCTAATGCAGATGCTGGGAGGCAATGCCAAGGGCTCAAGTAATTGGGTTCCTGCCACCCACATGGGAGACCTGGAATGAGTCCCTGGCTCGATGTTCTAGCCTGGCCCTGCCCTATCCATTGCAAGAATTTCAGGAGCCTATCAATGGGTGGAACATATCTCTGTATCTTCCTCCTGTGCTGTCACTCTGCCTTTCAAATAAATATATAAATCTTTAAAATATCTTTTAAAAAGAAAAATACAGTGTGGGGAGCAACTGAGACTAGACTAAGTTACTGGAATTAAGACTTATTCTATGCATCTGCTCTCCCACAATATGGCACTGAGAGAGAGACCAAACAACCTCTACGCAGCTGCCTCTCGCCAGTTTGATAAGCTGCAGGAACTAATTCTGCTCCTGATTGGAGGAGAGCAGTGTGCTAAGCATGTGGGTAGCAGAGTTGGGATTGGTGGAAGAGGACTATAAAGGAGGAGAGAGACAACATGCACCAAGAACACCTGAAGGAACACCTGAAGGAACACCTGAGGAACATCTGAGCAGCCCCCGAGAGAGCCGGCCAGCGGTGTGCCACTCCTCCGTGGAAGCGGGGATAGCGGCGGGGGGTGCCGCCCCTCCACGGAGGTGGAGGGGCTGGCAGCCAACCCGGGAAGGACCAGCAGCAAACCCGGGAAGGGCCGAGCAGACAAAAGAACAGCGCAGGGTTTAGTGTCGTTCCTCCGCGAGAGGGGGAGCGACATAATGGTGCCGTGACTCGGATATGAAACCTAGGAGGGATAATGGTGCCGTGACTCGGATATGAAGCCTAGGAGGGATACTTAAGCTCCAATTAAACACCTGCCCCATAGGTAAACCTAAATGGCCTGTGGAGTTGGCAGGCCAGTGTGATCACACAATGTGTGACATGACAAGTGACAGAAGTGGAGGAGGCAGAGCCAGCATCCTGTCTTTGCCTTCACTTTAACCACCCAGCTGGCTTTTCTGGGCTCACCTGGGTGCTCATTTCCTCCACTAACTGAGCTGGGACGTTTCCCAGATGCCTCCAGGCCAGTTTTGAGAAGAGATGACAATGTAAGCATAGGTGCAAGTGCCTGTATCTGCAGTAACTGTGCTGAAATTCTAGGAATGAAGTTTTGCCAACACCTGCTCAGTGTCAGGGTTTAGGCTTTTTATTATGTTACTCATTTATTATTATTATTATTATTGTAAGAAAGAGAGACATAGATATCTTCCAACTGCTGGTTCAATCTCCAATGCCTGTAACAGCCAGACCATGGCAGGCAACACCCAGGAGGCTGGAACTCCATCTGTGTTTCCCAGGTTGTTGAGCATCATCTACTACTTGCCGGGGTGTGCACTAGCAGGAACCTCGGATTGGAGGCAGAGCCAGGATTCAAACCGAGGACTCCAATATGGGACATGCATGTCCCAAGCAGCATCTTAATCTCTAAGCCAAATGCCCATCCCAAAGTGTGTCTCTTACACCACTCTAATGAGAATCAGAGAAAAGAAGTGTGAAGGAAAAAGCCTGCATTTAGAGTGAGATGGGCCCATATTCTCAATTTTGCTCCACTGGTAACAGCATCTTACTGATGTCAACTCACTTCACCACTGAGCCTCACTCCCCCCACTAAATTAGGTAGAAAACCTATTGGATGGCACCTTGTTCATAGAGTTTGTTCCTGCTTGTATGGTTTACATGTTTCAGGTGCCACACAGAACATTCTAGGTTCATTCATGGCCTGAATTGTATAGACAGGCTCTTAGATAGCCACTGTTGATCCCCACCTCCTGGTACAATCTGTTTTCTAAAAATGTTTGTTCTTCTTTATATGAAAGGCAGAGCCACTCTCTTTCTCTCTCTCTCTCTCTCTCTCTCTCTCTCTCTCTCTCACACACACACACACACACACACACACACACAAACACGAACACACAAACACATTTTCCATTCACTGGTTCACTCCCCAAATAGACACAATGGCTAAAGCTTGGCCAAGATGGAGCTAAGATCCCAGAATTCCATCTGTCTTGCCCACATGGTAGGGGCCCAAGCTCTTTGGCCATCACCTGCTACCTTCCCAGAGTGTGCTTAAATAGGGAACTGCATAGGAAGTGGAGTAGCCAGGACTTGAACTGGCCCTCTGATATGGGATCCTTCTGTTGCAAATAGAACCTTAACCCTGAAGTGGGGTCTTATTTTATTCCAGATCCCTGCCTTCTACTGAGAGAAGCATTTGAAACACAGAAACATGTACAGTACACGAAACGATAACATTTATTTAAGGGATGATAAAGCAAGGAAATGTGAGCATGGGTGGGGAGTGGGCCAGAAGGAGAAAACGGATGGGAGAGGAGTGGAGAGAGCACCTCAGCATCCGTCTCCCAAGAGCAGGACACACTTCTTCCAGTGCTGGCTGCTTTTGAGGTAGAAGTGTGGTGGCTATTCACATGGCACGTGCCCCACCCAGAAGGAAACATGCCCAGTAAGGGGCAGTTTATTGGACAAGTAGGATAGAATTACATGGGGTGAGGGCTTGCGACTTGGGACTTCCAGCTCTGTGGCCCTAAGCTAGCTACCTGCCTTATCCCATCTCATCCCCCCGCAGAGATTTCTGACCCTTAATCTTAAGGGGGTGCTGAAGGATGATGATCCGTCTTCTGTAGCTACTTCCTGCTGGCCAGGGGCGTTGTCCCTACCTATCCAGGGTTCAGAAACCTCTTCTTATCTAATCGATCCATCTCATGAGCTGGAAAATGTTCATCTGTCACGGCCAATCGCTGTTGCCTCGCATGGTCATCATCATTTTGAGAAGCTGTCAAATTTGGAAACAGAAAAGTTTGTCAATCAGGATGAGCATAATTGGAAAAAAGATAAATTTCAAGTTGAATCCCCTTCAAGATAGGAGGAATATATTCCACTGTTTCCCAAAACATGGGCATTGATAGATTGTCTTTGCCCAGATTATAAAACCATCTAGCATAGGCATAAAGACTGGTAGCATCCTTTTCAGTGAATATACAACTGTTAGAGTAGATGCCGCAGATTCCATTAATCACTGCACATGCTCCTAACTTTGCCAGTATGCATTTTATGGCCAGCTAGTTGTCTATGACTGTCTTAGAGCACCCATGGACTCAAGCAATTGCCATTAAATCCAGCCTGAAGTGTAGGCTCTAGTTTGGCCCACACAATAAACAGATTTTTAAATGGTTCTCTATGGCCTAGCAGGACCTACTGCTATCATACTACAAGAACTATGGAGTTTTCCTCACAAAAGCAGCCTCCTGAGAGAATAAAAGATAGGTAAAACATGTGTGCCATTAAGTGTAGCAGGTTCAATATGATAAAAGCAAAGATTTTACTCACCCTTTTGCCCTTTGAAGATGTATTCGAGATCTTCAATGCATTCACAAGAGCGAGCAGACTTGTTCTCTGTGTGCACCTGTGAAGACTAAAGAGGTAGAACTGAGATCTTTGACAAAGGTACCCAGCTTGGGATGCCCTGAATTTGACTTCAGTAGGAGTGCTGAGTAGCACCTGGTAGGATCCCTTTCATTTAGGCTGCAACTGATCAGAGTTAGAGTCTTTGCTGCAAGTGTCTCTTCAGCCTTGGTCTCCTGGGGACAGGCTGTCATGACTTTTGGGACCTGGCACTGTGAGAATTTTATTACCACAGTCCATTAGCCTCTTGTATAGGAAAAAGATTAATAATAAACTTTTATCTGATCCTGTATCCCTGAGTCAAAGAGAGTGTCAGAGGTGAAGAAGACCTTTTTATATAGCATTTTAGTCAGGCAGCCTTAGGTGCCACTTTCAACCTGAGGGCAATAGGTAAGAATTTAAGCCATGTTTCTGAGGTCTCTTGGCAAAGCTTAGCCAGGAGTATCTTAAGAATATGATTAGCTTTTTTAGTTTATTTGATGACTAAGGTCTCCAAGGGGCATGGAGATAAGAAAAACCTAAAGCAGTCACCACATGCTGAGGTATTGTCTTTATGACAGTATGCAGCCTTTACCCTCCAAACACCCAAGGAACTCGTGGCATTAAACCGCCTCTTCCAAAACAGTGAGAGTCATATATTAATAATCCTCCATTCAGCACATGGACTTATGAGTGAACACTGGCATCCTCCATGTAGCCTGGTTGAGGAGAACATTCTATGACAGGGCTCCTGTATTGAGGATATTTAGTGACCAAAAAGCTCAGGTACTAAAGCTATTTCTAGAACCTGCTCTGCAGCAGCAATTTTTGCTGCCTTATCTGCTAGCACATTTCCCTGAATAGCATGGCTATCTGTCTTCTTGTGTCCCCTGCAGCAGATGACAACCACTTTCTAAAGACTCCAGTGCTCCTGAAGGAGAGCCAACATCTCTTCTCCTTATTTAATGGGAGAGTTCTTTGCAGTCAGGAGGGCTCTTCCTTTCCAAATTGCTCCATGTGCATGGAACTCAAGGAAAACAAACTGGAGCCCGTACATATTAACTCATTAGCTCTTCCTCATTGCAAGGCTATAGTTAAAGCAGTAAGTTCAGCCTTTTGTGATCAAGTGCTAGTTGGCAATGTCTGAGATTCTATCACCTGAGTAAGACCCACCATGGCATAAACTGCCTTTTAACTCTGTACTTCATGTAACTACTGCCATCAGTAAACCACTTGGTATCTCCATTTTCTAGAGGTTTTTGAAACTGTACCCTTAGGAGTGAGTCCACAGGGATGAATGAGGGATCATATACAGCTGAAGTTTCTGTAGAACCTGAAAAGACAAAAGTGATATGGCTCTCCACAAACCCTGTTATGCTCATACATGTGTTTCAGATCCCTTGTACTAGTCATATTGGATACATTACAAAGTTTTTATACCCCAATTTGAGGTTTTTGGTTTTAAGCAGCCTGCCTCCAGGGCTCCCTGTGGGTTGATTTATATCTAAGGGCATCTTCATTGCTCAATGTCCCTATTAAATTGTCTGAATGAACATGCCTTACATAATCTGGCCATGTGAAGAGTGCTGCTGCTTTCACAAAGGTGCCAACCCACTCGGGAGCAAATGCATGTATAATTGGGGCATTTTCCCAGCACCCAACATGAGCTTATGGATGTCATCTCTGCAAGAAACCGATGTCTAGTGGGGCACTGTTCCTCACGCCAGGAGGAAAAGCTCCTGGGTTGTAAAAATAACACAGCCTATGCCTGAAGACCAGCTGCTAGAGTTTGTAAGCCCTGAAGCTTCTGTGCCCTGGACATTCTCTGGGGCTAGGACCAGCATATCTAGAGCTTGTGACCTCAGGTAGCATTGAAACCCATACCTGGG